TCTGGCCTTCAAGCTACTTAACTGTTTTGAACCCTAGATTCCTCTCTTTTTCTGAAATATTCTGTGTGAAAAGTGTACAAAATTGACTGTATTCCTAATTTTTCCTTGAGAAACTCTTAATTTTTGCAGTGAAAGGTTGGCAGGTATGATTCAATGATGGGTTCTTTGATTTAGAATCATGGGAAATTAAGTTTTAAAGCCCCACTGCACTACTCATAGCTACTTGCGCCCTCTACATAGCTACCAATGCATAATCGGTGCCTGTTGGTCCCCCATGAACCCCCTTTTCTTATGTTCATAGAGAACTGATTTGATGAGATAACCACCTATCAGTGACCTTGCAGGGAGGTCTAATCCTGGCCAAACTAGTACGGACAGGCTTTTAAAAAACTTTCAGATTTGTAAAATCACCAATGAGGTAGTTTCATATCTCAGTTAGATAGTGAAAATTAGATCAGGTGTTCTCCTATGATGCCATGTATTATATTCTAGTTATATTCAATATGATTGCAAGTGTTTCAAGAAAATTATTTTAACAATTATTTTTACAACATGTTCACATCTGTATAAGATAGCTGTGTAATAATGATACAAAACAGGTTCTAAATCCTCCGATAATTTATCTCTGAAATAGTGTATGCTTAATCAATTATATAAAATATGAGAACGCACTTCTCATTAATTGATAATCATAATCATAATGGTAATAATGATAATTATGATGATAATGTAAATGATACAAGTAATGATTATGATAATATAAATTATGATTAAAAAGTTGAAAAATAATAATGATAATAATGATAACTAAAAACCAAAATATTATAATAATAATTAAAATGAAAATATAAATAATAATTAAAATGAAAATATAAATAATTTTTGATATTTTTCAAATGATAATAATAATCTGGATTTATATTGCACTTGATATAATAACAATGATCTGACAGATCCTAAATTTTTATATACAGGTGGATTTCTACACCAACTTGGGGTCTGACTTTTGACTGGTTCAAATCTGAATGTCCACTTTGGACAGATAATGATACCTATTATTTACGTTTAAATCCCAATTGATATAGTTTAGGGTACAATCTAAGTATAGCACTAGGCGCTTTGGTATTGATGTTTTTATTTTTGGGCCAGGTGTAATTTTTCGAGTCCTGTATTGAACAGAGAATGTATGGACTTATGGCCACACTTTCCCCTAAAAAGAAGTATAATGAAAAATCAATTAGATAGCCCTTTTTGATTGATTTTCACATCATCAGAACTTCAAGTAATGCAGATTGATTTTGTGAGAAGTATAATCGTCATGAGGTCGCTAATTTCTGAAACAAAGGGTTAACATAAGAACTAGTCCTGGGTGACTCGATAGAGGTCAGTTCCATCGACGACGACGGCGAAGAAGATGAACTAGAGCTAGGTGAAGACTGGTGGAGCAATTTGAGAAGTAGCTCACTGTATCACGCCTGCCCGCAGGCCAATTAGTAGACTATGGGGTTCAAGCGTGAAGATGAGCATGTAGGAGATGGAACGTGTCTGGGAGGGAGAGGGTTAAACTGACCTGAAAGCGTGTTTTTTTTCACCGAGTGGACATCCGTTGATCAATAACGAAGGGCTTCTTGTTTGACGTGCACAGCTAGCGCAGCACGAATTAGAAAAGAGATGAAAGCACTTTTAATTTGGGGAAGGGGTGGATGGATGGATAGTGGTGGGAGAGAGGGGGAGAGAGAGAGAGACAGAATGAAAGATAGAAAGATAGACAGAAAAGAGAGAGAACATTAAGGTCGCACATCTTATTTGACATGCTCAGCACAAATTAGAAAAAGATGAAAGCACTTTCAATTTGGGGGAGAGGGTGGATGGGTAGTGGTGGGAGAGAGAGAGAGAGAGATGGATAGAGAAAGAGAGACATACAGAGAGAGAGAGAAATTAGTGAGGTCGCAAATCTCATTCGGTGTGGATAAGGAAAGACCGTGAGATACAAGACAGAAAGGGAGAAGGGGATTAATAGATCTGTTCAGAGCCAGAAGGGCATTGACTCCTTATGTAAGTATCATCTGTTTGGTCAGAGCTAGAAGGGTGTTAATTCTGTCTGAAAGTATTAGAGTTAATACCCTTCTGGCTCTCAATAGATGATTAGTGGTATCGTATTTATTACTTGAAGGAGGTAGATGATGTAATCGCCAGGCAAAGAATATGTAATGATAATTAATCTAATGAGCCTGATCAAATTATTAAGCAGATAGAAACTATATCATATGGGAGCGAAGAGGGATTGTTAATGAACTTAAAGAATGCAAAGAGATGATGACAGAGAAGAAGACTTTGTCACAGAGAGAGAGAGAGAGAGAGAGTGTGCGTGAGAGAGAAAGAGAGAGAGGGTGAGAAAAAGAGAGAGGGGGTGAGAAAGAGAGAGAGAGCGATGTAAAGAAAGAGACGGATGGGAAGGTGTGAGAGAGAAGATACAGAAATATGAAGGGAGAGGCAGAGAAGGAGGAGGGGGAAAAAAAACAGAGAGAGAGAGGAGAGATGAACAGAAATAGTGAAAGTACAGAGAGAGATGTGACAATGAAGAGAGAGAGAGAGAGGAGTGCAAGACGTATTTCATAGATGGTAGAAGAACAAGGTGAAAAAGAAATGAAGATGGATAAAATGAGGAGGAGATGGGGACAAGAAGAAGACGAAGATAGTGAGAGTGAGAGAAAGAGGCAGTTATGAAGAATCAGATGCACGGAGAAGGAGAGACAAAGAGGAAGGGGCAGAGAAAGCAAGATTGAGAGAGGGGGTGAGATAGAGAGAAAGGGGTGGTATTGCGATGTGATGACTCATTGATGATAGAATAACATTGAGTGTCTGGTGATGAGAGAAGATGCAGACACAATGAAACCCAAGAAGGAAAGGAAGGGTGACTGGAGAAATATAGAGTACAACAACGAAAGACTCTCGGAGAGGAGATTGAAGAATCGAGACGTATTGGAGCTTTTTATCTTGTCCTCAAGAGTAATACTGGAATGAACAGAATGTCGCCATAAAAGCTTTCGTCCCTTTCTCTGATGCATACAAGCTTCAGAACTGAAACCTATTATTCATGATTGTAGAACTAATTGTCTGTTTGGAGCCAGAAGGGCGTTAATTTTGTTTTAAGGTATGTACATTAAAGGTAAAGACCAGTATTGGAAACGCCCCAATTTCAAAAAATGAAATAGAAGCTCTCATTACCAATCATGTGAAAGAATATGTTTTGACTAATACATGATGATAAAAAATTTGCCGGAAAACCGCCTACTAATTCATATATTAATTTTTGGTAAATTTGTTTCTCTCATGGTCTGTGAGAGATATAGGGTAGTCCCATATACATCTTTCTGTGTATAGTGCTTGTAACTTTACGAAGAATGGGCCAAATTTCTTATCATTTTGATGATTCCAGAACCTTGCAGATGCTAGATGCTAGATGATCAACCTTTTCTGAGCGATTCCACAATGTTTCTTTCACAATGCAATCGCATGACCATAACTGGTCTTTACCTTTAATGACCTTATGGTTCCTAAGAGGATTCCATGACATTTGCTCTGGCGACAATTGCTCCGCTGTAAATTTCATACACTAATCGAATGGCTAACTTCAACCCTGGATTCAACACTATACCCTACCCTAAACCTAACCCTAAACCTAACATAAAACCCTATTGAAACCCTAACCCTAACCCTACATCTTAGACGAAATAAAGCCCGGAGCAATTGTCGCAGGAGCAAATGTCGTGTCACCTCCTAAGAGACATAATCTTCTCTTTTTATATTTGAAATGACATATGTAAAGTAGGAGAGCAAAAAAAAATTCTTTATAAGGAGTCATTCAGATGGAAGTAAGAAGATAGCTGGGTTATCTTTAAAGTAGATATTGAAATGGATGCTGTGTAGGAAATACACAAAGGAAAAAAAAGGAAAAATTTGAGTGTATGAGAAGAGGAGGAAGGGAGAGAGAGAGAGAGAGGGGAAGAAAGAGAGGGAGAAGGAGAAAGAGAGCGAGAGGGGGAAGAGGTTGAGAAAGAGGGGGAAGAGGGAGAGGGAGAAATATATAGGAGGAGAGAGAGGGCAGGAATGGAAATTGCCTGATGTTGAAAATGAAGGAAAAGAAGATATAATAAGTAAAAGTAATGGATAAAAAAGAGTGAGGATGATGATAGAAGGAACAGAAGAAAGATAATTCCAAAGTAATTTAAGCAGCTTAATTACGATGTCTGTCTATGCAATCTCCATTGCAAGACTCTCCCTTCCCTGTTTGTCCTTCCCTTTCTTCTCTATGGTCATAAGATGGACGTTGTGGCAGTAATCCTTTGTCCATCGTCCATTAATCGGCGGTCACTCCTTTGTCCAGTCAATGACAGTCTGGTTGTCTGGTGATAAATTGAAGTGGTTTGATATAGATGTAGGGAAATTACAAGAAAGAATGCAAGTGATCTTACACCAGGGAAACCAGTATTCCAGTCTTCCTATATTAGTATCTTCGGCTTTTTGTGACGCACAAAGACATGAAAGGGACTGAGAAAATTACAGTCATACGGTCACTGACAAATTACACTAGTCTATTTGCGGGAAAACCCAATCTGATGCCTATTGAAAGTGAAGTTCATTCAAAAGGAGCGAGTCTGACAGAACGAATGAAAATATATTTGAAGATCTTTGCGAAGCTCTTCATTTACTGTTTCTATGACTTGAATATCTTTTTTTACTTTTTGACCATTTCTGAATATTTCCACAATGATTTTCATTTCCTATGTCTATGACTTACAATTGTTTCACCTTTTTTTTGGGGGGGGGGGGATCGTTTCTGCAGACTTCCAGATGATAGCCTGTAAAATATATGAAGACAGTTCATATTTTCGTATTTGTTTCCTTTGATTCTATTTATTAAACTTTTTTGTCACTTGAAAGTCATATTATGTTTTTATGATTTCCACGTATATTTTCTGTTTTTGTCGTTTCTGCAGATTTCCAGACGATAGCTTGTAAAATATGTGGAGACAGATCTTCAGGTGTACACTATGGAATCATCTCATGTGAGGGATGCAAGGTAAGCTTTAAATCTATCCCACCCCTAAAAGATAATGGACTCTTCCATATTCCTTTGTTTTAAAATTGGTAGGGGCTGTTGACTTTTTGTAATGGGGATGCATTGTAGCATCAGCTGTTGAGGGATGAAGTATGAGGGGACAGAATTATAATGCTGTTGGTCTCACCCCTGAATGATAATGAAGTAATCCAATGTCATTATGGGAGAGTAGAATGTCACCATCCAGTTTTTGAAATATATTAGGAGGGAATGATGAAGTACAAATCACTTTGTTCTTAGATTCATGCTAACACTTTCCTTGAATGCATTTGACTACAAATTCAAAAATATGTCGAAGAAAACAAACCTTTTTTATATTTCATTTGAAGTTGAGTGACATAGTACAGTTTCGAGATCACCTTGGGCAATAGTTTTAACCGTGCCCCTTAAAGCAGTCAATATATAATATTATCTAAATAAGGCTCCCAAGTGGTAAAATAAATCAGTGTATTCAATATCTGAAGTGCAGTTCCTGGATGACTGACCAATATTGTTTTATATTGCTCAGTCATCCGGGAACTTCAAATCAAAAATCGATATCGCACACACAAAAATATCCATATTTACCGAGGTAAGTCCAATTTTGTTATTTTGCTAGTCGATCAGCCTGATATAGGTAATAATAATGATATTATATGGCTTTGTTTTCGTGTGATACAAGAATATATTGGCTATGACAATAATGGACTCGTCTCCGATTCGTTCAATATTGTCCAAGCTCGAGTAATATATTCTTGTATCACACTCAATTCGTTGTTTCTTTTAGGGCTTCTTTAGGATGTTTTAGAAGAGAAAATTAGTATATCTGTCTCAAAAAAGTATGTGGTATCTCAGAATCGTGTATTTTGTTCACATTTATCAATGAAATTTTGAAATTCTATCGACTTCTCCCTTATTGGCTAATATTTTGACAGCATATTATTTTGATTGAATCCATTGTTTCTTTCTGGATTTCTTCAGGATATGTATAAGAAGACAACAGTAGTAATTGTATTTTGCATAGACTTTTTTTGCTTCTGAGAGTCAATGAGGGTTTTCATTTCACTAACCTCCCCTCTGATTGGCCATCACTTTGATTGCATTTTTTCAGGATTTCTTTAGGAGGTGTCTAAAGAGGCATCTGCTTCTATTAGCCAATAGGAATTTAGATTCCAATAGCCTTCTCTCTGATTGGCTAATATTTTGATTGCATATTTTAATTGCATTCACTTTCAGGGTTTCTTCAGGAGGTGTCTAAGGAGACAGAAGGAGTATGTATGTGTTCGGGGAGGAAAATGTGAGATCAGTAGACAGCATAGAAACAGATGTCCTGCCTGCCGCTACAAGAAGTGCCTTGAACTTGGAATGTCCAAAGATGGTATGATATTAATCCTCAAGATTCTGGGGCCAGTTTCACAAGACACTCACAAGTCTAAGTTTGTGGACAGCCCATTGAAATGTGTATTAATTATGTAGCAGAAGTTTGTATGTGAGGTCCAAGAACTTGGACTTGGGATGGTCCTGTGAAACTAGTTATCGATGTCTTGCAATTGAAATTACATATCCATGAATATCTAAAAATTGCAAATAATAGGGCACAAATACATACAAGTGTGCAACAATTGTCCCTCCCCTAATCTGATGACTTCATAGATGATGCAGAAACACATGATAAAAGTATGATTACACAATTTGGGGACGATTTTCTGAAGTAATAATTTATCAGGAGAGAGGATCGGTTTTTTTTTCCAATGCTCCACTCTTATCTTGTAAAGAATGTAGAACAGTAAACTATGGTATTTGTATGTAGGCCAACAGCAACACATACAATCTTTTGTATATTATCTTTCCCAAATACTTTTAAACTGTCAAATTGATCTTTTTCATCTTCTTTTCCTCCTCCACTTTCGACAGATATCATCTTTGCTTATCTAGTAATATCTGTCTCCCACCCTCATTCTCTTAAAACTTGTTTTCCTTTCTTTTATCCCTTCTCTCAAAGACTCAAAAGTAGTTTTCTCAAATTTAACACATTGTTCCATCTGCATAGAATTTTCCTTGAATCTTTCAAAAATACTTAAGGTCCTACATTCATTTTTGGATCATGTGGAGTATATGGATTCGACATGAAATGTTTTTAAATGCTAAATGTACATTTGTGCATTACTAGAGCAGTTGAAGAATATGGATTTGACCACAGTTATATACCAAATATTCTAGAAATGACCAGTACATAGGATTGCCCTGTGCACTAACTGACCGGCTCAAATCCTGTTTGTTTTGGGTCACTTTAGAGCCCTAGTTTTGAAGTCCACTGACCTCCTATTACCCTGCCCGCATGTCGGCTAGAATAGTGTCCCCCTCATCAAGGACAATTACACACTGTGTTGAGCCAAGTAGTTTGTTGTGCACTTTGGATCTGTTTAAATTGTAGGACATGATTTTTAGGGGTCATGATTTGGGATGACAAACTACTTGAAGGTTGTTTGGAAGGCCTTAGTCTTCAGAGCCATGGAATGTCATGGGAAATTGTGTCCCTGGTGAGAGATTGTGTCCTATCACACTGGCAAAACAGTGAGAAATTAAGGATGCTTCATTTCATATGCATTGCCCTACTCTTCTGATAAACACACTACACAATGACTAAACTATATTTAAATGAAGCTAAAGTGTAGAAAGCTGTATTTATGTCATGAAGCTTGGAAATTGCTTGAGTTGGGATTCATCCACGCCCCTTCTTCTCCTACCCCCTATTCCCTCCGCCCCTTCTACTCCACTCAAAATTTGAAGCTCTTTCGGCATAATATCTTAAAGGCACACTGTCCTACTTGTACCTACTTGCTCCCTCTATATAGAAAACTTCCCCAATCGGTGCCTGTTGGTCCCCCATGATCCTCTTTTTCTTATGTTAAATGAGAGCTGAGTTAATGAGATAGCCACCTGTCACAGTGACCTCGCTGGCTCGCTTGGTGGTCTAATCCCTTCTGACTGAAGTAGTAAAGCCTGCCTTTAAAAGGTTCTCAGTAGAATATATAGTTATGAGGACACTTTTTTACTGTAGAAATGACAGCTTGCTTTTGTTGGTACAGATACCTTTTTATTTTGTACTGTATTTGTAAAGATTTATATGACTAACAATATATCCTATATCTCAAATTTCCCCTGCAACTAGATATTAGTGACAGTACTAATGTAAGTCATTTTCCACTATCTAAATACCAAAACAACCTTGTACTGTAAGCTACAAAGAACAAAGTATGACACATAAACTGTCCTTGTTTAGACTCTAGGTGGAGCTCTTTAAAATTGACTCTATCAAAGGCAATATGTAGTACAATAGAAGCAGAATGTAACTTGTGCTATTTTCAACAACAGAATGACTTCTTACCATTTACTCATTTTACCACATGGAACTTTTGCAAATCTCGACTATTCATTAAAATTATATGACAAATAGGAAATGTTTTTATGTATTCTATGGGAGCTACAGCTTTGAAGCACATCTATTTTCCCCCATAGTTTCCTCTTTTTTATCACTACTATTGTGACTTCAACAGAAACAACAACAACAAATTCTGTCATTTGAATAATTTAAGAAATGTTAGTTTCATTATGATTTATGTCTGAAGAGATGAGGATCATTTGAAATAAACATTTTGATGTTTTTTGCCTGCCATCCAGCTGTGAGAATCGGCAGAATTCCCAACAAGCAGAAGGAGACGGAGTTCGTCGACATCGAGCCCTACATCTACGAGGAGATCAAAGACGATGAGGACTTCGATCCTTTCAAGGACATCAAGGTTGATGCCGAGACAGAGGAGCTCATCGTTGCCGTCAGGGACGCCCATCACAGCACAGCAAAGTTCTATGTAAGCTAGCTCCATCATTTAGAGCTGATTTTTAGGTCATTTCAGCTTACTCCATTATAAAGGGATCCAGTAACTTTGTCTCAGATCCTTAAACAATATCCTGGATTTAGCTCATGCTGCAATGATCATTATAAACCTTTAGGTCAGTCAGGAACCCCATGACTTTTACAAGCCGATCACCTGTCTGATTATCAAGATATTTATGATTGAAAATCGAGATCAAATTTTGCGTTTTCCTATTTAAACGGTTTTCATAACACTACAGTCTATTGGGGAAAATGAGTATTGTAAAACCAGTCACTCAAATATTTTTACTTTTTTGAGGCACTTCTTGATCATTTTGAAACGCAATTTTTTTAGGGCTTCAATATTACACCATGTCACAGACACTGATAACATGTAGGGCCACGCATCTCAGATTTAACATTGATAAACGATGCCTTTAAGCCATTGAAAAACTAACACATTTATAGGTTTTTAATATACATACATGTAGGCATATTTATCTATCTATCTATCTATGTGCCACGGCTTGGAGGCCGTTGTCTTCCAAAAAGTGTTTGCCAGATATATCACCTCTTCATAATTGGAGTGACATTTGCATTAGCTTATAGCCCATTAGTTGGGTATGAGTTTCATAGAACACATATTGCTATAAAAAGAGTCGTGAACTCTACAAAGTATTCTGAAGTTTGGCCATTCAGTGAAGAACAAAAGCTGTATCCGATGTTTTACCTTGCCGTTTCTTTCTTTCGTTCTGTCAATCCGTAGCCCGAGTTCGATGACTTCAGGGAGGGAAGATGGGAGAAAGATGCAGAGGAGATGAAGAGAGAAGCCGAGAGACTTTCAATTGATGGTAAGAAATTGTTCATGGAGATCAGGGGGGTGTTTTACAAAGCCCTTTTTTTATGACAAATTACAAAAGTCATTGACAAATCTGCTGATCACCAATCAGAAGCAAGGATTTCAGTAGCTGATGACAAGTTTTGTGAAACACCCCCAGTACTATCACTTTATTTTGCTCCTGCACCATTGTATCTTGGCTCTGTTTCATAAAACTTGTTAGCAATAACAAGTTATAATAACTGTTATAAGCTTCTGAAATTGTAGCATTTGATTGGCTGAAAGCTAATTTGTCATAGAAATTTAGCATTTCTTATTGATAACAAGTTACAAAACTTTTATAAGCTACTGAAATTGTGGCATTTGATTGGCTGAGAGCTAATTTGTCATAGAAATGTAGCATTTGTTTCTTCATCACAAGTTGCAAAAAATTTATAAGCTAATGAGTAGTTTGATAATTCATCCCTTTTCTCTTCTCCCCCCCCCCCTCATTTTCCTCTCTTTTGTTCTCTCTCTCTCTTTCTCCTTGTCTTTTTCCTTCCTTCTCCATTTTCCTTTTACCCCTCTCTCTCTCTCTCTCTCTCTCTCTCTCTCTCTCTTACTCCCTCCCCTCCCCCCTCTCCCTCTCTTTCTCCCTGTCTTTCTTTCCCCTATCTGACTGTACCTCTCTCCTCGCTGCCTGTACCCCTCTCCTCACCCGTCCCTCTATTTCTCTAGGTATGGATGGTATTCAGATGTGGTGCTCTGTGGTCACTCAGGCTTTAGCAGCGTATATCAAGAGAATCGTAACCTTCTGCAAACACATACCAGGTTGGTAATCTTCTAGGCTTCAAAGACTACACCCTGCTATAACCCGTTCACAAACCTATTAAGTGCACTAATCATGAAAACTTGTGTTCCCGAACTCGGAAAAGCATAATATCGGCATTACATTTACTTTTAGAAGCACCCATTCCCAAACATGATTCAAGAGAATCGTCACCTATTGCAAACACATACCAGGTTGGTAATCTTCTGGACTTCAAAGACCACACCTCAATAAAACCCTTTCATAAACCCATGCTCCTAGTATGCACATTAAGTGCATTAAGGATGAAAACTTATGTTCTCAAACTCTGAAAAGCTATGAAATATTAGCACTCCAGGTACTTTTAGAAGCACCCGTTCACAAACATGATTCAAGGGAATCACCACCTTCTGCAAACACATACCAGGTTGGTAATCTTCTAGACTTCAACGACTACACACCAATACACGTACATGCTCCTATTATGTGCACTAAGCATGAAAACTTGTGTTTACAAACTCTGAAAAGCTGTGAAATGTTGGTACTACAGGTACTTTTAGAAGCACCCATTCACAAACATGATTCAAGGGAATCGTCACCTTCTGCAAACACATACCAGGTTGGTAATCTTCTAGACTTCAAAGACTACACCCTACTATAACCCTTTCATAAACTCATGCTCCTATTATGTGCTATAAGCATGAAAACCTGGGTTCACAACCTCTGAAAAGCTATGAAATATTAGTACTCCAGGTACTTTTAGAAGCACCTATTCACAAACATGATTCAAGTGAATTGTCACCTTCTGCAAACACATACCAGGTTGGTAATCTTCTAGATTTTAGGACTACACACCAAAATATTCCTCTTTCACAAACCCATGCTCATTTTACGTGCACTAAGTATGAAAACTTGTAGTGTTCACAAACTCTGAAAAGCTACATAATGTCAGTATTACATTTACTTTAGAAGCACCCATTCTCCTTCTCCCTCCTAGGTTTTGCATTGCTATGCCAACAAGATCAGATGGTTCTCGTAAAATCCGGCCTCTTTGAGATCCTCACCATCTCCGTCCTGCTTATTCTCCTAATTCTTTCCACTCTCCTTCCCCCTCCTAGGTTTTGCATTGTTATGCCAGCAAGACCAGATGGTCCTCGTCAAGTCTGGCCTCTTTGAGATCCTCACCATCCAGGACTCCATTGAACTGATCCTCTACGATGCCTTTGTGCTCAATGAGGACATCCGCATCTCCAAGGAGAACATCATGAAGTTCATGCCGGTGGAGCTGTATCAGGGTATCTACACCTTTGCAGAGAGGATCAACATGAAGCTTAGACTGACCAGGCCGGAGATCGCACTTCTGTCGGCAGTTGTGCTCTTCGCAGATGGTAAGAGCTAGGGAGAGTTGTAGATATGGAAAGAACACAGGATAAAGAAAGAACAGGGAGGTGTTTCACAAAACTTGTCATCAGTGACAAATGACAGTCTTTGTTAAAAGCTACTGAAATACTTGCTTCTGATTGGCTATCAGCAGATTTGTCACTGATTTTTGTCATTGTAAAAATGCTTTGTGAAACGGGCCCCGGGATAGAGGTATGGAAATAAAAAGTAAGATAGAGATAGACAGCAAAAGATAGAGGTAGAGGAAGAAAAAGAGCAAAATAGCGAGAGAGAGAGAGAGATAGATAGATAAGAAGATGGAGACAGAAAAAGGATTGAGAGAAAGAAGGATAAAATATCAGTGATGCTATAGTTGCTCCGTTTAATGTGAAGCTTAAGCTCTTTTGCATAGCAATCCTTCAGGTTCTTTATCAACAATTTTTTTCGAATTAAAAAGATATCAATGTTGCTGTAAGAGATTTAGTTCAAATAACTTTTTACACCACAAACTCTTACACGTCTAACAGTTTTATGCACATCCTATCCTCAACATACTTCGGTGTTTCATATCGTTTTAAAACAAATCATTTCTGCACCTCCTTCCCTGATACAGATCGAGAAGGTCTTCAAGACGTGATCAGCGTAAGCCGCATCCAATCCCGCCTCCTGACAGCCCTGCACATCGAGGTCCTCCGCAACCATCGCTCCGACCCGCACATGTTCGCCAAGTGCCTGCTGCTCCTACCCATGCTCAGGACGGTGGACGACTTTCACAACCAGTTCATCATCAGGCTCAAGCTCGGAAGCAGCAACCTGCCAATGTCCGAGCTCTACAAGGAGGTCTACGACCTGGGCACCTTCGGCAATGGCCATCGCACCCAAAGCGAGGACAGTGGCGGCGCAGCCACGAAAAGCATCCAGGACGATGACGAAGTCAAGATGTGCAAGAAGAAGGCAGCGGCGGTGTCTGCCGTTGCCGCCGCAGCAACCGCTCTACCTCCAACCATCTGCGAGATGAAGCAGCAGGCCATGTGCGGGCGGAAGCAGCAAGCCATGCGGGAGCTGTCGCAGCAGTCAGTCTACGGCAACGTCGTGATCAAGGAAGAGAACGACACACGACTGATGGCGCATTGTTCAATGTAGCAGGTGGCTTCATAGTGATACCATCAAGTTATCTCTTAACCCGTTGCCTACGGGAACCTAGTGGTTCCTGTATTAAGCCTATGGGACTTTGACAATCCAGAAGTCGACAGGTTAAGAGAGGGTTTTATGCCACTGAAAGCACTATGTTGCCTATGAACGCACACTTTTATGAAAGCTAGGCTTTTGGAAGGCTACAGTAATGCACCCTGGTTAGTCAAACTTATGAATCAAACTAAATGAGCAAGTTATCCAATTATTCTGCTGGAATAGTAAGATGTTTGATCACTCTAGGGATTGTGTTCTTCCAATTCAGAGCATCTTCACCGTCCTATAGTCCTCTGAGGGACTCTTGAGGATACAGAATTTACTGTCTCGTCTGTTCACCTGAAGCCTTGCATCTTGAGGTAGCGGACACCCGCTACTTAGAGTTGCTCATTGGAGAGTCATTTATGGTAAACACCACGAAGCACTTGCGTAAATTGGAGAGTTAAAGCAACAGAATTTGGTGTCCTGACTAGCTGTTCACCGAAAAACCTTCCTTCTTGAGTAAGTGGACACCAGCTACTTGAAGAGTACCCTTAAGGATCCGTTGCCTTTTCATCCCCTCGAAATCTGTAGCCAAATCAAAAGAAGCGTTGAGGCAGTGGGCGCTCCCGAAGTCCACCAGAGATGGAACTATGCCTTGGGATACTGAAGTTGATCTAAGGTTGCTTTCCGAAGATTCTGTCAGAAATTTTCCCTCTGTATTCTCGTGGGAACAACAGCCCGTTTGAAATACTTTGAAATCATATTCATGTGAACCCTATACATGTTGTACTGCCCTCTATGGTTAATGCATGAATGTTCTTGTGTAATCTCCCAGGGTTACCTGCTTAAGATTTTATATACAGCTGGTGTGTGTTGGTTTAGTATATCGTTATCCATTTTGGTTGTAATTGTTAATAGTGAGTAGGTGATTTTGAATCACAGATTTATTCAACCCTGCCAACACGAGGCGAGAAACGGTCTGTAAAGACATTTGAGTTTGGGCTCAAAGGATTGGAAACTAATGGGTCTTTGGTTTCTCTTGCTAGCTACATGTACATCTAACGAAGAGATAATTCATTCAGGATATTTGTATGGGTGGGCATTTTAAGTAGGTGTCTATGTTATGTTATATTAAAGGTGGAAGCCTGTGTTTCCCTATACTCAGTTCAAATCACTATGAACCAACATGTCACAAAATTGCACACATGCACGTAAACAATGCTCACTGTTTTAAGAAGAGGAGAATCAAGTATAATAATAATAATAATATTGGATATTTATATAGCGCATATATCCCCACCCTGCAAGGTGCTCAAAGCGCTCCAATATTACCCCGGCTCTGCTAGGCTACCGATTTCGACGCTCACAGCATTCAAGGAATTCCTTCCTACCGGTCCCCATTTACTTCACCTGGGTTGAGTGTGGCAAATGTAGATCAATGTATTGACAGCAAACAGATGGCTAGGCCAATGTTGTCCTGCTAAAACCATGGGATGCTTAAATTATTTCTGAAAGTCTTTTGGAGGGGAATTCCAAGATAGGAAATTCAAAGAGTCAAATGTTTTTCGTAGACTTGAACTCTTTGGTCTCATCATCAATGAGTATGTGAAAACGGTTCCAGCAAATCCAAAGACGATAATAACAAAAAACAAAAAATACACAACAACAAAGCGCAAAACTATGAACGTTCAGAACATGCTAGACTGGTTTTATAGGTCACTGGTTAGGGAACTTGCCTGTCCAAATTTAAAACCTGTCTGTACTAGTTTGGCCAGGAGGGATTAGACCCCCTGCATGGCCACTAACGGGTGGTTAACTCATCAAATCAGCTGTCAATTAACATTAAAAAAAGGGGATCATGGGGGACCAACAGGCACCGATTAGGCATTGTTTGCTATATAGAGGGCACAAGTAGCTATAAGTAGTGCAGTGGGGCTTTAAAAGCTCGTCTCAGAGAGTAATTAGTCAAGGGGTTCCTTGTGTGAGGGTTTAGCCCTCTCCTGGACCGCCTTTGACACCCCCATTTCTGTAGAACCAATTTTGTAGTTCAAATAATTAGGAGTTTATATTAGATTAAACTAAACCTCATTGCGCATGTGTGTGTGAAATTAAAAAAGTTTTCCTGAGCAAGAAAAGGTGATCTGAAAGTACGCTCTCGAGAGTGGAGTCAAGCCATCGGGGCTTAATTGCACACAGACCCTGAAATCTTATGCGAGCAACGTTTCATCCCGTTGCATAAAAAACATTTCTCAGGTTCATTAACTTCAATCAAATTGATGTAAATATCATTCAATGTATTTTACTTTAGTATGGTTACGATAAAGGCAAGCTCCAACTGTGAATTAAGCTTCGAGTTTCTTCAGAGTTGCACTTCCAGTGATTATAAATAGAGGTCTGTAAGCTCCATTTTCATCTTAGCTACGTCCATGACTGTTTAACATCAATGAGGGCGGTAGATTGTGCTTGAATGCGCAGTTTTGCATGTGATAGCAGAGGTTAAGTTCTCTTATTCCCACCTTTCGCAAGAAAAAAAAAATGAAATTCTTTCCTAAGAAGAAAAAAATGTGGATAATATGTCTTGCCCTTATGAAGTGCAAGCTTGATTAATGTTGTTGATACACTTTGGTTAGGCTCTAAGCCAGATAATGATCTTAAGTATGAAATACTCGATCGGAAAAGTTATTGTAATTTTACTATTTTTAATGTTTCAATCATTAACGGAGATGAATTCCACTCTGACAATCACTTTAGTAACGCCATGACAGATTTGTCTTATTTACAATGTACATGTAATATATATACGTCTGTAATTTCTGTTTGTTCGGTTTTTATTTTTTGCTTTATTTCAGGGTCGGTGGTGGTTGGTTTTATCTCCTCATTGATGTAGCGAGTTAGTCTTGTAGTAACCAAGTGTAGATACTTTAAAAGTTACTCAAATAACGAATATAGCGATGTCAATTTCAGTTTCAATTATGTGGTGGTCGCCATCTTCAATCACACAACTTTCTCATTCACAACATAGCTGGCGCTAGACCACTGACTCAACTGTTCGTCAAGTATGAGCACTAGGTATGCTCATTGACTCTGTAGCTAGTAGTAAACATCAACAAAAAATCTGGAAATTGTTCTTTACCCTCTGCGATATACTGGTGCATGTATTTTAAAGCTATATATTATTATCTGCATATGTCATCATGCTTTGCTTCATGTGTTACATAAAGGCAAAAGGTCACAGAGAAAATCTCAAAACTTTTTTTGGGTCTCTTTGCTAAATCATATCTCTATAGTTTAAAGCTGTCAGTTATTATCAGTGTAGCGCACCTTGCTTTGCTATCCAACAAACAAAAGTTAGCGCAGATACAATCTGCAACTTAAAATTGTCATGTCCTACTGCTATATGATATCTTTTAAAGGTATTCGTTATTTACTGTGAAGGGGATTGCACTGTTGTGAATTTTTTATTTTGCCTTGTCACCTCTTGAAATAGTTACTATTGAAATATGAAATATGTATAACTCTTTGTTTAGAACAACTCAAATCCTTGTCCTCATATTGCCAAATTATAATTACAAGGAGTTTATTTTATGTTAAAGATTATCTCATTAGCGTTCTTGGTTTGGAATTATATATTGTCTTTGTAAACTGAATTTCAATATTCCACTTTGTTTATATTTTTTGACCTAACTTTTGGAATACATCAGTATACTTTTCCCCTATTTGTGCATGTATCTTTTACATCAATGACAAAGCATTGATGTTTTTTAAATATGTTAGATACTTGGAGGTCACACGATGTATTTTTCTCTCTTTTTGCTTTTAAGAGAAAATGTTCTCTTCTTATATCTTCTGCCCTAGAAACTGAAATTCTATCTTTCCTTATCTGAAATTTTGTGATTTTTTTAAAGTCTCTACAAATAAAGCATTTTGTATTACTCTGTCTTGTAAGGGCATCTGGTTCTTTTTAATACCGGTAACTGAAATTAATTTGCAGGATAAAATGCCCTATTTTGTGCTCACCGGTATATACTTCCATCTGTATTAAATGTAGTCGACAAACAACCTTGGTTGTATAAGTAGATGTAATCTATGTTATATCACTCTTTGACTTATTTAATCAATTACATTGGTTACAAATGAATTTCACTGCTAAAATTGTAATTTTAAGGTATCTTATGACACCGCCCCCCCCCCCCCCCCCCTCAAAACAAAAAAAATTGGCATTGCAGGTTTACAATTTTACACCTTTTGATTTGTTCAGAAATCATATTTATGTAGTGGGGTAATTTTTTAATTATCAGCATGACGGTTTTTTTATTGAGCATACATGTCTATGGGTATGGTACATTTATTTTTCATTTTGAATTAGTGCCAATAAATGTCTCGTTTGTAATAGTGTTTTGACCAGCCTGCTACGTATTGAAATATATTAAAACATCTCTGAAATGGTTTCTGTTTTTTATGATTTGTGTTTGGTAAACTGGTTTGAATGTTACCTTCTGCCTAAGTATGTACATGTCACCATTGTAAAGCAAACATGTATGTCAAACTCACAGCTATACTGCTGTCATAATCATATAAGTCGTGTCGTAGACCATAAAATGCAATATTTACCCCTTTTCATCCTCATTTTTGCACAAGTTGAAATGTCACAATTTATAAGAATGTCACCCCTTGCATAGATGCTGTGTTGCCAATTTAGTCAGCTCATTTCTTCAGCCATATCTAGAAATATTCGACTCTGAAATATGTATTTTTATTTGGTTTAATTATGTTAAGGGCTTTGAGAATGCGATGGGCCTTTCTGAAACCCTTATACAGATATGATGCAGTAAGTCTAATCAAAACTACCGCAGCAAAATTGAACCGTTTATAAAAATGTGTACCAGTAAATAAATGGCACGATGGCTTAGTTGTAGACTAGCAGTGGTCTCGTAACCGGGAGGTCCTGGTTCAAAACCAAGTTGATGCGCTCTTG